TGAGGGCCACGCGCGGATTCAAATTAGGCCTCGCCATCTCTGGGGGGGCTGCGATCTGTGAAACTGTCGCCACTTTCGAGGCCTGCTGGGGGGCCCTGCACAGTTACGCCACGGGCATATTCAAACGAGACCTCGCCATCCCTTGGGGGCTGCGATCTGTGAAACTGTCGCCACTTTCGAGGCCTGCTGAGGGGCCCGGCGCAGTGACGCCACGGGCAGATTCAAATGAGACCTCGCCATCCCCTGGAGGCTGCGATCTGTGAAACTGTCGCCACTTTCGAGGCCTGCTGGGGGGCCCGGCACAGTGACGCCACGCGCGGACCCAAATTAGACCTCGCCATCCCTGCGGGGCTGCGATCTGTGAAACTGTCGCCACTTTCGAGGCCTGCTGTGATCACCATGTTCGAAGTGGCTAGGAGTACCCAGGAATTGTAACTCATCAGCTTTATCAAGCCCTTTTCCTGTAGCCAGTGTCCTGCGAGTCTCCCGAATTCCGTCTGCAGACATATGCAACCCTCGCTCCGTCATCGCCCCCTTATAAAGTATCCTAAACTATTTGCGCCCCGCTTTTGCGCAGGGGTTGGGTACGTCGCCAGGGTAATTTTATTCAATCGCTTCGCTCACTCCGCCGGCCCGTATTGCATGATCGATACTGCTTCGGCGCGGGCTCGGGGCCATTTCGGCGCCGCTGGAAGGAGGAAGATGAGGATGGGGAGGGGGAGGGGAGGAGGAGAAGAGGATGAGAAGGAACGGAGGAGGATGAAGATAAATATGAGGAGGAGGAGGAAGAGAAAAGGGCGGATGAGGAAGCCTCTCGATGGCATCTTGCGGCGCTCTTGGGGCCAAACAGGGCCGTCGTCCAGATGCTGCTTTGGGAGGCCCTGGGGTCTGTTGAGAGGCCGTTCGGGGGCGCCTGGGAGACATTTTTGAAGCCTTGTAGGGCCTCTTTTGAGCCTCCTTGGAGCCTCCTGGGGTCTCTTGGGGGCCTCTTGGCGGCATCTTGGGCCATCTTGGGGGCCTCTCGGGGCCTCCTGGGGCCCTCTTGGGGCGGAAGGCTTGAGGTTTCGGTTCGTGGTCCCCATCTTGGGCCCCTCTTGGGGCCGTCTTGCGGCTCTCTTGGGCCGTCTTGCGCGTCTCTTGGACCGTCTCGGGGCCCGTTTGGGCTCTCTGGGGGCCTTCTTGGGGGCCTCTTGAGCCGTTTTCGTGCGCTCTTGGGGGCCTCTTGGGCCGTCTTGGAGCATCGGAAAGCCGAAAATGCGACAAGGCCAAAATCCTTCCAAAACCATCGTAAAATTTATGATTTTGGCCTCTCGGGGCGCTCTTGTGAGGCCTCTTGGAGGCCACTTGGAGCGTCTTGGCGGCTTCTTGGGCCGTCTTGGGATCATCTTCGGCGTCTTGGAGCGTCCTTTGGGCGTCTCGGGGGCCTCTTGGGCAGTCTTGGGGGCCTCTTGGGACCCTCTTGGCGCGCTCTGGGGGGCCTGAGAGGCCGTACCCAGGAGGAAAACCATCTCTGAGTAGACCTTCCCGGGCTGCGGTCGGGGTACTTTTCGCCGGGGGACCCCCAGGGGCCGCCCCGCGCGCGCGAACTAGAAATATTGTTAAGCAGTTACCGGAGATCTTAGCACGCCTCTGGCCCGTTGGGCCGGCGAATTCATCTGCCGCACGGCCAACCGAACGAACGAACAATTGTCTCGGCGCGCAGCGTTAGCTTCGCTTGCGCGCGTCCTGGCTGACTTCCGTTGCTTCCTTCGCTTCTTTCTCGCCCTCCTCTTCCTTTTCCTCTTCCCCTGCTTTGCCTTGCCCCGCCCCCCATTCCTTTCCAGCTCGGAGCTGTCGCCGCGCGCGAAGAGCGCAACCCAGAGGGCGTTGCTGCAATTCGTTTGTGCACCACGAAGTCTCGCGTAATTCCTTCGCGCGCGGTCCGGCTACACTGCCAACGCGGGGGGCACACGAAGGAATTTCTTTTGCGTGCGATCGTTTTCGCCGCCCCCACAAGAGCACGCGCGATTCCTTTGCGTGGAGCTTGTTTTCCCGCCTCGAGGAGCGCACGGGGCCTGGCGCTACAATGACAAGGCCGCGGCGCTTGGCAGTGCGATGCAGCTGCGCTGGATACCACGCCCAGAACGATCCCACGTGGATGCCGGCTCTTCTGCCGAAATCGCGCTGGCAGCTGGCCAGCAACATCGCCGGCCCTGCATGCCCGCGCGCTACTGCGTTCTGCTACCGCGACGCGTGCTGCTGTCAACGGATGAACAAACTGACGTTGCACGGTGGTTTGGCTGTGCCAAACCACCATGGAATGTTTGTTGGTGGCGGGTCTTGGGATCTTGTCGCCGCCGACAGCCTTGCCACGCCATACATGTCAACTGCATCCTAGAGCACGGCCGTGCATCAACCCTGGTTCGGATCGCTGGGAATCCAGTGGCATGCGTGCACATTCGTTGCACCGTTGGTGGCGCCAAAACGTTTTTGTGCCAAATTCCATTGATTTTTTTCTGGCTCCTAGCCGTGGCCGCGGCACATGGAAGGCGCAGCGATCATAGCACGCGCGCGCGACAGGCCAGCATCATCTCAGCCGCCCGAGACCAGATCTGATACCCGAGCTTCAACTCACTCGATACGCGGTCGGCAGCGTGCCCTGGAAGCGCAGCCCAAAGATCTTCAGGGGCATCAAAGCTGGCCAGGGTCACAGCCCATGGCGTCTCCGAAACATACGATCGCCAGCAATTGTCGGGCCCAGAAGCTTCAGGAATAGCACGAGGCGCCAACGGCTTACAGACGGGAACAAGCATAGCTTCCACATCAATGAAGACGCCCGGGCCAGCATGTGTCTTGAATGGGGATTTGGGGCCAGCATGGAATGGAACATGTCCAAGAAAGGCCCCCGAGCACAAGACGTAGTCGATCATAGTCTCTCCTACCGAGCATCTGAGGAAGACACTGTCGGGGACCACTGTCACCGCACTCACAAGCTAAAGGAGGCCTGTCTCGCTCATGGGTCAGGCGCAAACTTGAAGCCCCCCATCAGCAGCCAGGCGATAGAGAGGGCACTGGTAAACTCATATATATATATATATATATAGCACGGAGACGCCGAACGGTTCCCCTTGAGATGCTTATGGAATCGACGAATACACCACCCCCACAGCGTTCGCACAGGTCTTCATCCTCATTTCCAGGAAAAAGCCAAGTTTCGCCAGAACCGACCTGGGAAACCTTTTTGGCCTGAATGGAAAATTTCCGGATGCAAAGTCCGGGTTGAATGGCCACACAGACGCCACCACGTGACCCTCCTTCTGGGGACGGCATAGCACTCTGGAATCAGGGGGGCCATCGAATTTGCCGGCATAGCTTCTCAGCCCGGCCTGTGTCCAAGAAATCTTGTTCAGCATAGAACAATCCATCCACCTCAGCTACCGTAGCTGCAAGATCGTCCTGATCGGTCATGGCATGACAGAATTTGAAGTGAACGCGATGCGACTGTCACGTGGCTCTGGCTCAACCGAAAAATCCCGAGGCCAAACGCCAGAGCCTGGGGCGGAAGCGGCAGGGTCCAACTGTGCCCTGATTGGGACACTGTATGCGCTAAAGAGATGGCGGGGCAGGCGCAGCTTGGCCTGGCACCAGCCGCTGAGCAATTGAAGCGCAAAAAGCACGGAACAGGCAATTGGACTGATTATGGAACCTCCTCGCCGCGCGCCTTTCGCGCACCTGCATGAGGAGCGTCTGGCAGCGTTCGGACCGACGGACGTCGAGTCCATGTTCAGCAGCACGTTTCTTGGGAGCACGATATTTTTCTCGGCCATCCATAGGCAGATCACCAGCCTCACTGCCAGCATCACGAGCATCATCGACCATAGCATCACCTGGTTGACGCCTTTGGAAATGCACTCGAAACTGGCGCCGGCAGGAGCAGCATGATGGGCGCCAGGGGCGCCTGGAGCGGGTGCCACCGCAGCCTGCCGGGCTGCAGGCACCTGCCCTGGGGGCGCCACGCTTGGCGCCTGAGGCGCCGTTGCCTGGACCGCCGCTTGGACAGCCGCCGCCCGGGCAGCGTGCTGGGCAGCAACCTCGTGCTGCTCCGCCATCTTGAATTGGTCAGGGTCGAACTGGGCATTGGCCGCGATCGCTGCCACCGTCTCCTGCTGGGCCACGTCCAAGGAACGTGGAGCCTCGGCATGGACCTCTTCCTGTTCAGTAAGAAGGGCCCGGGTCTTGTTGACGCGGTCAAGCTTCCATGCCACGTCTTGATGAGCGAGCCGTTAAGCCTTAGCGGCAGCCTCGACCTGGTCGGCAAGCTTGGTACGCTGCCAGGAGGCCAGGCGGTCGAGCTCCAGGACGGACAGGTCGACGATCTCGGGAGCCACTGGGGCGGCAGCCTGTTGCACCACGCCGAGCAGCGCGGGGAAGACACCCGTCCACTGCTGGAGCTGCGACACGAGCTCTGCGGGCCTGGCGGCCCCGACGGGCTGAGCAGCCTGGGCGGCAGGGGCGGCACGCCGCTGGGGGCCCGCCTGAGCCTCCTCGCCCTCGCCGCTTCCCACGTAGGGGCCTTGGCATGTGCTGCGCTGGTGTGATGCTCGGCGGGCAAGAGCTGATCCCTCTCAAGGCGCAGCCGCCGCCGCGTGGCCGCCCGAACCCGCCGCAGGCGGCGGTGCCAGGCAGGCGAGGCAGATCGCACGCGCGCGCGCCCGCCTCTGTCGCGCCCTGCGGGGCTGGGGGTGCAGCTGTGCGGGCGAGGGCACGACAGCGCCCGCTGCTGAAGCACCTAGGAGGAAGAGGGGGAGGAGGAGGAGGAGGAGGAGGAGGAGGAGGAGGAGGAGGAGGAGGAGGAGGAGGAGGAGGAGGAGGAGGAGGAGGATGAGGGGGGAGGAGATGAGGGGGAGGAGAAGCGTAGAGTTGCGAGGAGGAAGGGGAGTCCCTTGCCTCCTTCTTCCTCTCCCCTGCTTTTCTCTCCCCCCCTTCTCTGGTTGTCTCCCCCGCCATCCCCCTCTGCTCAGTTTCTCATCCGGCTCGATCTCCTTCTGCGCGCTGTAGAGCACCCACGGTGCCAGCGACAGACCGAATCTGCCGCCTGCGTCGCAGTAGGGAACGGACAAAGGTCGCCGTGCCGACAGGTGGGGAGGCAGATTGAGGGGGGTGTTCGTTGGGACGGAATTGATGGGCGAACTTTCCACCACCACTGCCACAGGTAGGACGGGGGAGAAGGGAGGATGGGGAGCTCCTCCTCCTCCTCCTCCTCCTCCTCCTCCTCCTCCTCCTCCTCCTCCTCCTCCTCCCCCTCCCTCTCCTACCTATGGTAGTGGCGGTGGGAAATCGGCCCGTCAGGAACACCTATCCATATCCACGGCCCCGTGCGTACAGAGCGGTTGCCGTCGCGGATGCCCCGCGCGGAACGCATCCGTGCGACCGCGCATCTTCGGGGTCGCGCCCCGGGATCGAGACCGCGAGGGGGTGGATGTGGATGCGTTCGCCCCTCGTGGGGTACGAGCGCTTCGGCCACGGTTTCAGAGGATCCCGACACCCAGGCGTCTTGTGAACGCCGCAACATGCGGCTCTGCCCTGGCCCAGGCCCTGGGAGTTTCAGGGGTCGGTGTGGTCCGACAGGTTCCACGAAGATGGAGGGTCGAAGGCTGCGGTCGTGATTCCTCTCGCTTCGCGGGGTGCACGTCCGGAGCACGTACAGTCCAGTCGTTGCGGGGCCTCTTGGGAGCTTCTTTGTGGCCTCTTGGAGGTGCCTTGGGGGCTTCTTGGGGCCTCTTCTGCACTGGGCTTCTTTGGGGCCTCTTGGGGCCTCTTGGGGGCGTGTTGGGCGGTCTTGGGGCGCTCGTGCGGCGTGTGGCCCATTCGGAGGCCGGTCTGGGGGCCTCTCGCGGCGTTTTTGGGGCTTTCTAGGGGTCCTCTTGAGTTGGGCCGTCTTAGGGCCCGCTTGGGCCGTCATGGAGGCCTGTTGAGTGCGTTTTGGGCCGTCTTGGGGCCATTTTGGAGACTGCTTGGAGTTTGCGCACGAAGATGGAGGGTCGAAGGTTGTGGTCGTGAGTTGCGCCACGGCGCCTAAGTTTTCGCGATGTCGGATTTCAGGAGGGAGGAATGGAAGCCAGAGGGAAAGGAAGAGGGGGAGGGAGGTGCGGTTTCGGCTGCTGTTGCTCGCCTCTGGACCACTGTTGGGATTGCGACTGCGGGGAGGGAGGCAGGGGGGGAGAGGAGGGGAGGAGAAGGGAGAAGGAGGCAGAGAGGGAGCGAGGGAGAGAGGGAGGGAGGGAGGGAGGGAGGGAGCTGGTGAGGAAGGAATGGGGCGAGGGAGGAAGACTACGACTACCACCACCACCACC